ATTAGCAGCTGGACAAAGACAATGTCTGGCACAAAAACTGTGTTTGTCCAGAATAGTTGTGTCAGTACTGGACATTCTGCAATGTTGTTTCCAAATATTTGGCCAGTGAATTTGACCAGTTAGATTTGAAAACAACATCAAACAGGTACAGTATAATCAGCAGTGAAACATTCCCAAGCAACACTGATAAAGTTCTCAAACAACTGATGAACATGCACTCAAGCTAGATGGCCTTGAAACTTGCAAGAAAATCCTGGGAATGATATTGTTTATTTCTGCTCAAGTTCCTACTTTGCCATATCCAATGTCTTCCCGCATTATCAATTTCTTTTTTGAAATGCTAAATTAAAATGTTCTAAGAAAGGCTGTATTGCAGGTTATGTCAAAAGTATGAGAAACAAATTGTATTTTAAGATACTTTTCAAATGCCTGTATTATTGGCATTGAGAACGTCAAGTTATTCAATAAAAAGTGCCACCTTCAAGCTTTCCAGCTCTATGCTAATGATGAGTTTAAATGAGGAGAATAAGTAATTTACAAGAAAAACTAATATCTGATCCAAAAAACCAACTGTTGTCAAGGGATTTGCTCATTTTACAGATGTACAACAAGAACAGTTGAAAAAAAAAATGGATGTTACATATTTTATTGCAAAACATGAGTTGCACTTGACTGAGTATGAAGACTTAATGAGGTTAGAGACATATCACAGCACTGACGTTGATGATATATGTACATTAATCATATCCAGTGTGGCAAGAGTGTCAATTTTCATGGCAAATATCTAGCAGGTAAACTGGCATAGGATTTACAACAAGCAAAGTTTTACAGTGTGCTGGTAGATGGAATAACAGACTGCAATGTAATAGAGAAAATTGTTATCTATGTGTTGTATTTTGACCCACAACATTCTGAAAAGCATGCTGGAGTCACAATCTCATTTCTTTACTTAAAAGACATCAAGAAAGCAGATGTAGCAGGAATTAAATCAGCTATTGAATCAAGCTTTTCTTCTCTGTCCATAACAGAAAATCAGCTTTATTCAAAACTTGTTGGGTTTGGTGCAGATGGAGCCTCAGTGAATAGTGGGGATAAAAGTGGTGTGAAGGCCATGCTTCAAGAGAAAATCACCATGGTTAATTTTCAAGTGTGTGGCTCAAAAATTAGAGCTGGCCAAGAAGGATGCTCTTCAGCTAAAATACTTCAAGCAAGTGGATGATATGCTCATGAGACTGTACTATATCTACAATAAGTCCCTTAAGAAACTGCATGAAGTAAAGTCAGTTTGCAAACTTGTGAAGAGTACATTTGACTTTGTGGAAGGATGAGTAAAACCAAAAAGAACATGTGGTACACAATGGATTTTATTCAAACTAGGAGCCTTGAGATTAGTGCCGGATAAATTTGGTGTTTACATGATCCATTTGGAACATATGATTGCTTGGAGGGGTACTGATGAAATTACTGGGTATTTCAAAAAGTTGAAAACCAATCGCATGTTGTTGCACATCTCACTTTTTCAATGATGTGTTAAGTCCTGTTGCAGAATTATCAAAGGTTTTTCAGGAAAAAATAATTGACACTGTGAGTATCATTAGTGCTTTGAAAAATAGCAAAATGTAAACTTCAAACATTCAGTAGAGTGAAGTTACAAGGTCTTCCAGCCACAAAGTATTTGTTGAGCAAAATGAAATATTCAAATGGAATGCACACGCAACAAAGTGTTCAATTCAACTCTGCCCAGTTTGACAAAAATCTGTAATTACTGGAATCAAAGAAAAAAGGAATAATTGACTTTATATCCTCTTGCATATCTTCCTATTTGGATGACTCTGCAAGTTCTTTGTTTGAGAAAATTGTTCTCACATTGAATACTGAATCATGGGTAGCTAGAGCTGAATTTCCCCTGGCACATGAAGACAGGGAAGAGTAAGTGTCTTCCACATTATTAAATGAAGAATTTTGTGATTCTGAAATAAGTGAATTGTTTGAACATTTTTAAGCCATCTTGTGTAATGCTAGTGTCAAATGCACCTGTATTGAAGTTATTGAGAAATGGCCTGACATGTTTACCTACAGCATCAACTACCTACAACCTAGTAAACATAACTATAAGAAAACCTGGAATTTCCTTTGCAGTCCTCCTATGCAGAAACAAAATGGAAGAACATTCTAACATTAACTGAATTGCTATTTTCTGTTCCAGTCTCAAATACAAAACTAGAAAGTGTTTTTAAAATTACAGTGAACAAATGTTGATTCTGGATATTCAGTAAGTGAGAAAAGGTTAACTCGTTTACTTAGAATCACAGAAGGTCCTGCACTTTGTTCTTTTGATGTGACCCCAGTAATTAAGCTATGGAGTAAAAGAAAAGTTAGGAGACACAATCAAAAGAAAAGGAAGAAATACAAACAACACATACAAAGATAAAATAAATATTACCATAAAGATAATTACAATGAGCTTATGTTAATAGGCAGTAGTAACACAGATGGTGACAGAGCTGATGAAGACGTGAACACCAGTTGCTCTAATGTAGATGATGAGTCTTCAATGTTCTGAGGCTGAGGTGTAGTCAGAGAGTAACAATGATGCACATTGGTGTATTTAAAATGCCCTTTTTAATGATACTAATTCAGAGACAGAAAATTTTTTGGCTTTTAACCTTTGTACCATCTAAGTCACTCTAATTTACAGTTTTTATGAACATTATGAGAATAAAACAAGAGAAAAAAACTAATTTTATCATGTCTTCCTTGACTGTTTACAGTAGCATAATCATACATATTAAAATAACAATTGCTGTCTGTGCCAGCCAGTAGATGCAAAGTGTCAGGCATCAAGTAGTTGGTACCTGAAGAAAATGTTATTTTCAGGCTTGAAATTAGGAAACAAAATATAAAGTTTTAAAGTGCTATTGTCTACAAAACAATGATGCCTAAAATGGCATCAAAAATATTGATATAAATTTGATCAGACTTGTCACTGTACAATTCAGCCAGGCACAGCTTCACTTACACCATCTTGGTTGTGCCACTATTTAGGTAAGCATGAATTTACAAAATATTAAACTATTTCAGCAGTGATTTTTACACGTCATTAAAATTAAATGAATAAGATCCACTTTTTATGGCCCTTTTGTGTAAATATAGATTATTTGAAAAACATTATTAAAGTTTATTGTGAAAACTAGTTTCAAAATTGGCATTGTCCACATGGTAACTTTTTACTACTGAAATCAATACTTTGGCCAATGCTATTGCTAATTTTCTGTAAGTAGACAATCAGGATGCTAGCTTTCATCAAACCTGAAAACAGGAATACACATTTATTACATACATCAGTACTCTAATGACTTTGCATTCAGTATCCCAGTGTACACTGGTTATGGACCAAACAACAAATCATCTTATAATATTTATAATTTCTATTATCTTTTAAAGTAATTAAAAGATTTAATAATATTGAGAATGGAATAATGAGTAACTGGAATATCTAACAAATGCATCAGAAATATGAAACTATAGATTTTCATCATAAGTTATAACACCACAGCTTCCAATTACTTGATATTCCATCAAGCTTGCCACCTTTTGTATAGCATAATGCAAAAATTAACAGATCAATCTTCTAATTTTTCAACCTACATTATGAAAATACTAATTTTCATCATAAGTTATAACCATAAATTCTAACAACTTTAATCCTACTTAACACCATCAAGAAGCTTTTCTTTGGGAAATAACTTGAGAAATAAATGGATTTATTATTAAAATAACATTTATTATTCAGACTACATTTAAAATTAACAGAAAATGTGTTCTAAATAAACTTATGGACAATGAAAGCCAAGACTATCAAGAACAACAAAACTTTTAAAGAAATAGTAAGTAGTTCTTAACAGTTTTCTTATTACATAATGATATATGATTAATGGGTCTGTTTTTTAATTAATCTTAATTTCCTTTACAAAGTATTCTTAATTTAGCATTTATATTTTAATATTATCAATATTTAATTTGCATATGTTACAAAATAATCTCTTGAAGGTTACAATATTTCCTTGCATGTTTCACTTGACTTGAGTTGAGGGTAATGGATTTTGGTCCATAATATAGATTTAGACTGCCTTCACTTCAGATGTATTTCAAATGCATATCCTAATAAAGACCCTCATTTCAATAACAATTTTTTCAGTTTATTTCATACATGTAAAAAATTACAATTCTCTGACATTGTTTAAGTAGTTGATGTTACATTTACATCACTGAATCTGGTATCTTTTTCATATAATTTATCAGTCTAGTAATGAAAAAAACTCAACTACCAAATTTTAAATTTTTAGACATACAACTAATTTAAAAGACAACAAGAGGGAACCCTCAATAACCATGGCACTTAAAATTCCTTTAGGCAGGATTAGAGTAAATTGATCTACGAGACCCTTTTTTTCCTTTTTATTAGCGAAATTTTTGTGTGCCAGCAATACCAAGTGTGGAGCATGCATATACCCGATTCAATTTTATTACTCAAATTGAAATTCTTTTAGTTTCAGACAGGATTAGAGTAAATTAATCGGAGACCTTGGGCATGGTCAAATACATCAATCGAAAGGGTTTGACTTCCTCAGTCCAATACTGTAAGTAGATCTCATAATTTGAGCCAAATTAGTCAAGAGATGGTGAAATTACGAGCTAAGTTTGTTCTTGAAAAAAACTCGGAGTCACTCTGATATAATTTCTATGAGCCACTATGCCACGACTAATAAAAACATATATATATATATATATATATATATATATACCTACATATAATTATCATGAATCTTTTATATTATAGATAAATCATACGTTGATCAACGTGCACTGAAATGGCATGTCATTCCAAAACTGGCAAAAGTATCAAATAATCTTACAATTTTCATGATTGAGGCCTAGCATTGAGTCTTTAACAGTAATACTAATATTACTTAAGCTTAAAGTTATAAATTTTACCTCACCTGGTTTAGTTTAATGTTTGTGCAAAGACTAACATTTGATTCAGCATTGCCAATAGGCTTAGCGGAATCTACCTTTTCTGATTCATCTGTCAGCCATCGCTTTAGTTGTACGAACGGAAGTGGAATTTGCTCCCTTTGATATAATATGTATTTAATAAGCTCTACTGACAACTTTCCAAATGTCTGTTGTTGGACCAGTTCTTTAAATTCAATTACACATACAGCTGAAACTTTCCTGTCTTTAAATCTCGCCATTATGGTCTAAACTACAAAAAATTCAAAAATCCCTCGCTCAGTCTTAAGCCAAATACACACAGTACTAACGAAGTTCACGCAGATAAAAATAATGAAAAGTTTGAAAATGTGATACGTGCGACAAACAAAATACAAATGTTAGGATCTGCTATAGTCTTTTTATTTTTAATAATAAAAAATATGTTAAATAACTAAATATAATAAGCAGTTAAGTGTACAATAAATATAGCAAGCGATTCTAAGGTAGTTGTATTTTATACAATTGTTTTCTTTTATTTTTTTTCGTAGCGTAAGAAATTGTTTATTTGTTATATGCACATTAAGACAGCATCGTATTAGCGTCACATAAACAGTCTAATGGCAGGAAAAGTAATTCATTGATTTATGTTCGACAGGTTTCTACTTCAGCCACTAACACTAACTGTAAAATAAACATAGAAAATAGATAAGAAAATCTTATACTATTCGGCATGTTTCGGTAGATGAATTTTCTTATCTTTCACTCCTTTGGGCCTCACCAAACACGCTCGCCCTTTCAGCCGTGGGGGCGTTATAATGTGACGGTCAATCCCACTATTCGTTGGTAAAAAGAGTAGCCCAAGAGTTGGCGGTGGGTGGTGATGACTAGCTGCCTTC